TGCGCGGCGGGGGGGTTTCCGGCGGCGCAGCGCTCGGCGGGCGGTGCTTTTTTTTTTGCTGCTTGGGGCAGCAAAAAAGTTAGAGCCGGCCCTGGCTGCATCTCATCTGTTTTTGGATCAGTTTGACAACAAGGTGCTGCAGAGTGTCTTTAACAGATGCAAGAATCTGCAGGCAAAACAATAGTATGGCCAATCCTCACCTGCTTAGGTTTTTGAAAATGTAACATAGGTTACTTAGCTCCTATAAGTCTTAGAACAGGGTGGGTTACCCAGATGTCTCCTTAAACTTTTAGAGTTTAGTTGCACATAGACACATTCTCAACAATATCTTTGATCTTTTGTTAACCTTGCATGAATCATTTATTGGAGTAACAATTTGACAAGATGACATTAAAAACTTATAAAATAAATATCATACAAAATATTGTACTCTTAGCTCTAGTCTTCAAATGGACATGTCTAACAGCGCTGGTTATACAATAAGGGTCTGATCCAAATCTCATTGAAGTCATTGGAAGTCTTTCAATTGACTTTAGTGACCTTTGGATCAGATGCTAATAGTGGAGAACAGCTAGAGGAGAGACTAAAAGCACTGCTTTGGTAAACTTATTTTCAATCATAGTGAAAGAACTTGCCTTTGCATTAGGACTTTGGGGGATATTCTGAGTAACCAATGTCTTTTCCAACACCTCATTTACTATATAGGGATCAGTTTCCAAAGGGACCACAATCCAATCTCCTTAAAATTGCACCCTCAAGTTTTGGGTAAATACCTGATCCATTAAAGTCAATGGCAAAACACTGACTTCATTGTGGCTAGGATTTCACCCTCTCTATTTACCTGTTAGCAATGGTGCAACTTGCGTTTGTTAATGCAGCCTGCATTGTACAATGGAAAGCAAGGAGTTGGTCAACTACCCTACCTGATCTGCAGGCCATACTCTACTCCTCCCAGTTACATCAGCACAATTCCACTGACATCAAAGGAACTTCACCAGTGCAATTGAGAGG